GTACTGCTGTTATAATGATTAGGGAGTAAATAAGTTCTGCCTGTCTTTCAAAGGTATTTGTTTTAAATGGCATTGGCAAACTGCTTTGTGCAAAGGTAATTAAAAGCAGCTTTCAGAGACTTGATGGATTCAACTTAAGGAGGCTTGAGTCAAAGCCATAGGGCAAGGATTCAAAGTATATGAGTTCTCAGTTCTGCTGTAGATCAGATCTTAAATACATTTCCTTTGGAGCTAAAGTGTGTGGGAGCTGTGGGGAAGGGGGAGAATAAAGGATAAACAAGGCAAATCTTCAGTTGGATTTAAAAGATGGTGGCAGCTTTCTCCTTTTAAGATGTAGTTTGTTCAGTGCCCTGCATGGTTACAATTTGGGTCATCTGCAACTCCTGAGCTGTGAGCAGTTCTGAAATGTCCTGGAGCTGCTGGAGAGAGTGGCAGAGCAGCCAGGAGCTGAGGGGAGAGTTATGAGGGTCAGGAATGCACAGGCCTGGGGATCAGCAGTGATGGATAGACAGAGTCCTCCCTGGATGCTGGCCATGAATGGAAAAGAAGGGAAGAAGAAAAAGGAAGGGGCTTGACTTCCGTGATTCCTGACCTTATCTTGAGCTTACATAAATACATGAAATGGAATACTTCGGTCAATTTTGCTGTCTAAGTCCACTCTTCCCTGCAGGATCATTACAGATACAACTCTTCTGTTCCTTTAGCAGCACCTGAAGCCACAGATTCAACAAGTAGAGCAAAGTGCCCTTGATGTCTCAGCAGTAACATAAACATTCCAATGTTATCAGTCCGTTAGCTGGAAAACTTGCTGTTAGTTAAAAGAGAGCTCATTGAAGAAAAAATAATCAGTAAAAAGAAAATTGGCTTCATCCTGGCTCAAAACAGGACAACGCATGGAGCCAGATGCTGGTCTACATGTTAGCATGTGGAAAAGAAGGGGAATGAATGGACAGATATGTTTTGGAAACAGTAAAAATTTAAGAATTTGTCTGCTGCCTGCTTTGAGATTTTGTCTGTTATTGGCCTCTGATACACTGAGTGTCTCACTATACTAGCTTAAACCTTCAGTCCCATTGTTTAGTGTGTTGAAGAAGGGAGGAATTGTGCTACATTTAGTCTCTAGAGGACAGTAGCTTGTGAGGCAGGTGGTCACTGCACATGGGAGTATCTCGGACACTGATTCAGTTTGTTCATTAGAACAGGTTCGGTGTCTGAGACAACTTTGGCTCTAGCCTCCTCATCCTAGAAGGTATGGGTTTTTTCCAGAGAGTCATTCAACTCTGAGAAGTTTACTATAAAAAAAACCTTTGACCCTACCTATTCTTAGAAAATACCTTCTAATTGCCATTTGTCAACCTTCTTCAGTCCAGGTTAGCAGGCACTCTGACAGTTTCTGTAGACACTACCAGCTTGTCCATACTCAGTGCCAGCAGTGCTTTACTTTGCTACTGCTAGATAATGAGTCCTCAGGGGACAAGTCAAGTGTGATACAGGCTTTGTATACTCAGACCAGTTCTGTTTGAAACCACTCCTTGAATCTGTTCTTGATAGAGCTTGCTTACAGTGTTTATTAATTGATTGAGTAGGAGTATGAACAGAACAATGGGGGGGAAATACAACCCTTGTCTGCTGTCTGCAACTGGGTATTAACACAAGTGTATTGCTGAGGATATGTATCAGTCTTCTTGGAAGTGAGTGCTTCCTCTGTCTATCAGTTTTTGTGTCTCTTGTCCTTGCTTGTGCTTAACTGCTTTTTCATTGAAGAAAAAAGTTAATTTTCCTAATTATTTATTTTTTTATCTACAGTGTTTTCCCTTCTTAATTATTTATAATGTATTTTCTTTCATGCTTTCCCCTTCTGGCTGTGGTAATAATATTAATCTCTGTATGTTTTTTATTTGTGGTTGCATTAGCTTCCTGAAGTTTTGTTAATTTATTTTAAAAAGTGCATTTGATGTATCATAACCATCACTTCAAGATAAGTCCTGCTGGTTTTGGATTAGAGTAGGATATGGTTTTAATATTGTTGGTTAGAAAGAATACATGTTAAAAGTGAATGGTTTTGTATGTGATGTCTGAGTGTATGTCACAGTTTGACTTAGGTCTGACAACAATGCTCTCAATCCTCCCTCCCCCCAACCCAGGTAGGGAAGGAGAGAGAAAAAAAGAGAGAGACTTGGCTGGGTTGAAAACTAAACTACACAGCTTTAATTAAAACACTAATGAATCATACAAGAAAATATATACAATTATATACAGATATATATTCAGGTATGGGCAAAAGCCTCTCGCCTCCCCCCACCCCAGCAACTCCCACAGCACTTCCCTGAACTGGGAAGAGTCCCGAGGAATCCCGGAGCTGCTGCTGGAGAAAGAGCAGAGAGTTATGGGGGTCAGGAGAGATCAAGCCTGAGGATCGACGGTGATGGATGAACAGAGTCCTCCCTGGATGCCGGCCATGGACGGAAGAGAAGGGAAGAAGAAGAAGGAAGGAAGTTGTCTTCTGGGATCTCTGACCTTCCTCTGAGCTTACGTAGATATATGGAATGGAATATCTTTGGCCAATTTTGCTGTCTGTCTAACTCAGCCTCCTATGGGGGAGTCACAGATCTCCCCGTAGTGTCTGAGCTGGCAGAGTGCAGGTGCGGCCTTGAAGCCTCAGTAGTTAGAGACACATTCCACTGTCTTATCAGCCTAGCAGAACATGCTGTTGCTAGCTACAAGAAAGCTTACTGAAGGAAAAAAAAATCAGTAAAAAGAAAAATTGGCTTCATCCTGGCTCAAACCAGGACAGTGTATATTGCATTAACTTCCATGGGTTTTCTTGGAAGGGAGGGATTCAACTTTTCACACTCAAGCTTTCCTGTGCTACTAATACTTGAGACTACAAAAGCACTTACTTCTTAGTAGTGGCAACCTTTGAATGGTCTCATTTCAGCTAGGAGAGTACTGGGTTGTTGGCTGGTTTCTTGACCTCACTTGGAATTGCAGGGACCACTTGCAAATGCTTTGAGTGAGATCCATGTGAAAATTTACAGTGTGAAGATGTGTGTGGAGGGAAAAACCACCTCCTGTTGCCAGAGTATATTTCCTTACCTGTCAGGCAGCTTTCAAGTTTAAACGTGCATTATACAACATTGAAACTAGCCTTAGTCTTGAAGCTTTGGAGAGATTCAGGAGTAACACTTCTTGCAGGTGTGGAGCATATGGATAGGTCTAGTAAAGATAACTAAAGAGTAATGACCTGGGTAGGCTTGATTTTAATTTTTTACAACTAACCCATTAAGCCCAAATTCATTGTGAACACTTGACTGTCCTAACAACCGTACTTAAAGCATGTAACTTAGAATACTCACTTCCAGGCTACAGTGGTTGTTTCTGATTATGATCCCTGATTAGCATTTGCTGAAGAAATGTTCCAGTAGCTGGGGTTTACCCTGAATTTACATAACAATGCGTGTCTGAAGTTCAGCTGTAGTACTACATGTATCTCCTGTATGGTTGCAGTAAAATGGTGTACTTACTCAGAAATTTAGCTATAGCAGTCTGTAATCTTCCTGCAAGAGTGATAAAGAAGACGTTTTTCTAAGACAGCGTGTTTTCCAGAGAAGTTTACTGGATCCACTTGCTTGTGATCTGCAGCAGGGTGTAACCTGTTGACTCAGGATAACTTGTACCACTTCACCGTATTAACATGTACAGTTGTTGTGCATATGTGGGTGTTGACAGGTTATCTTCTAAAACTTAATTGGTACATGTGTACCTGCCTAGGAAATAACACATATGTAGCCTTAGACTGGTGCTTAGTACCTGTTGTAGCTAGAACACCTTTTCTTGAAATCATTATGATGTTTGCGTAAGGTTGAACCTTAGTCAGCATCTTGTGCCAACTGCATGCTTATATCTTCTGTATCAGTGAAGGTGGGAGGATGTGCAGCTGAACCAGCCCTGGAACTGTGACCCTGACTGTGCTTTAAAGGTGTGGGAGATGAGTGAAACAAGCAGGTGAAATTCTCCCTTGCAAAATGGTTTTGGCACCCTAGCCACTCCTGATTAATTTTTTTTTTCACGGTGGTGTACGAAAGCTGGTGTCCTGAGCCTGAGCTTTGTTCTAGGCTGAAACAAAGGACACAGTGGAATTTGTTCTCAGACACACTGATGCATCCTGCAGTGCCCAGTTTGTATTTGAAGATGCTGAAATTGCACAGGCTGCTATGAATCTGAAATAGAGTGCCTTTTGAACAGAAGGGGTGACCAAGTTAAAAAATTAGCACTGTAATGTGGTACTTTGCAAATGTTGTGGTTAATAGGTAGGTTCTGAGTGTATTTAAGTTTCCAATTTTAAATATCAGAGTGAGCTACAAGTTGAGGACTGAGCAGAATAACCTCGGAGGACAGACAGTCTTGCTCATTGGAGTGGCAGTGAAGAAATTTGGCTATGTAAAATGAGCAGACATAGCTCCAGAGCAGGGATGGGATGTGG